AAAAAAAAAAAAAAAAAATGAAATTAATAACAGGCTAGAGGCACAATAATATTGTTAAAACCAGAACGGATTCAGACACAAGGAGTGTTTCAAAGCTCTTGAAGTGAGTTGCGGCTTCTAACAGGAAAAACTTACGTACATTTTTCTCAACTAAAGGCCAGGACACATTTTTTTCCTCTTATGCAAACAATATACATAAAATGAGGCGCCCATTTTCCAGCTAATTGCCAAAAAGAAGTGCAAAATAACACTTGAGTAATTATTTACCATGTTTTGTAGCATTCAAGAAAACCCCATTTCCATTTTCTGAGAATCTGGAGATCTGATTAGGTATAGAACTCTTCGTGCTAGCATTTCTTGACAGTAGACGAAGTGCGTGGCAGTATTTTCGGGCTGAAAAAGCCCGAAACCATGAATGGAACATTCCAAGGCTAACAATTTTCACGCCAGCAGATTTCGCCTCAACCAATTATTCAACTGTGCTAATCTGTGCTAATCAGCAAATACGATAGTGATTGCGATTTCTTATAAAAAAAATAATAAATAAATAAAAAAAAAATGAACATGAGCACTAGTAGATTGGCTTTAGGTGCACTAGTAGATTGGATCTCCAGCCTATTAGTGGACCCGAAGGTTCGCGCGACTCTAGTGCACCCAGTAACCGGCCCATATATGTATGTTCCCCAGTACCGTGACATGTATATATAACAATAATCATACAAAGCAATTAAAATGAATGAGAGAATAGAAACCCTCACCTGAAAAAGTAGTTCTGTAAATTTGCTTGTACTGAATGCTCGCGCTTGAATGATCCTAATAGTGAAAGATGGCAATCATACAGTAAAATATAACTTAATAGATGGCTTGACTCAAAGCAAAGTAGTCATATTATATATAGATAAAAATATGGTGAACAGTAAAGTGTAATAGCATCTCCCTTTTCTTCTTCCTTCCTCTCTTTCTTTCCTCTTATCTTTTCTTGTGATTACACTCACAAATACAAGTTAAAGGTCCAGTCAATATCCTCATCTTAAATTCCCCATTATCTTTCCTCAAACCATTAGCTTCATTTGAATTCTAAAGATAGATTCAAATAGAAAACATGTATTCAAGTGATTTCAAATCCAATATCATACGAAATCACACATCTAAAAACTCTTATGAATACTATGAATACTTACGAGCAAGTTAGGAGGATGGAAAATGGTTCAAAGTCAGCATATTTTTGTCAAATGGACAAAAAAAACACACATAATGTTTGTACTTTAAGTATAAATTTTATAAATAGGTATTGAACTAATTGTTACTCCTACAAAACTCCCAGACACATCTACAATTTTGGTGAAAACATGGAATACAAATGAGTATCTTAGGACAATATAAAAGGTAGAATACAATATGGTAAGTTGCTACAAAACTGGACGAAGACTATAATGCGCAGCCCATGTATTTTAAACATACTTTTAGCCGAACATAGATATTTGATTGATTAAAAAAATTTATGAGAAGACAAGAAATAGAGCTACAATTCTTGTGAAGACTACCAACACTTACAACTCTTGTGAAGACTACGAACACTTACGATCATGTTAAGAGGATCGAAGAAGGTTCAAAAGCAAAAGCCTAATGCGGCTAACTGACAAAAAACAGCTAACTTTGAATTTGTATTGTGAACATAATTTTTTGACAGAGAATAAGTGCTGAATCTATTCTTGTTTCTAAGAATGCCAAGAGACACCTCTACGAATTTCAAGAAAAAAAAACAGAAAAAAAAATTTTATGCACGACCACGTTTGACGGAGAAAAGTTCTGCACAACCATCATATTATGAATGTAACTTTTCACATAAAATAGATAAATGGGTACCCTGTTCTACAGAAATATGAGAGGCTAAAAACTACAAGTTTTCTAAAGACAGCAAGATTAGACGGCTATAGTCCAAGTGTCAAAACAGTAAAATCGGACAGATGGTGCACAACAATACATATGAACAGCGTTGTATAATGTGACAAATAAATCCCAAGAGATTATCAAATTCTCAAAATGATGCCCATGGATTTTTGAAATATTCCACTTCAGTCCCAAATCGCACTACTAACCCCCGCTCCCAACCAGGCATCATCCTTACACCAAATCTATCACAATAAAAAGCATAACACCACGCACATAATTGACCCACGAAACATACACACAACCAGCACCCCAACACATATGCAGCTAAAAAAAACCCCATTGTACAACGCGATCCTAGAGACGAGGGATTACACACGGAAAACGGTAGATTGATCAGAACACCTGAGAACGGCGGCGAGTTCGGGTGGAGATGTCGACAAGCGTCGGCGGCGATCGACGTAGTCTGGGGCGTTGGCTAGGGGTTTACGCTAATTCAATTTTTTTTTTTTTAAATCGTTAAATAAATTTATATTGATCAAAACGTAAAGTCATACAAACAAACGGCTTTCAAGAGCGTAGCGAGTAGCCACAAGTCAGCTCCTCACTCGCAAGAGCAAAAATAACGAGGACAACCACAATCTGGTTGCTTACTCGCGTAACAAAATCATCCGAGTGCAACCACACTTCACAACAACCAACTCAAAGATTACCGAGACACCTCCTCTCGAATTCGGCCAAAACACTCGGGTAAATAGCAAAGATAAATCGATAGACATGAGTCTTTACCTTTCTAATAACGAGGCTTAGAGGTTGGCTTTCATTCTCAAAGATCAACTCCTCGCATTCTAAATAAAGTGCACGGTTGCCGCAAGCGCCGCTTTCTTCAATTTGGCTCTCCAAGACGTGCCTTTTCCACTTTTTTTTGTCCATTTAAGGGCGCCCTTGAGTGTAATTGGCCTATGTCGGAGGCTGACCCAAGTTTGAATTTCACTCTATATTTCCGAGCTAAAGGGCATTTGAAGAAGAGGTGCTTCGAGGATTCATTTTTTACTCCACAAAGGGGACAAGTCGGGTCTTCATTGAGGAACTCAAGGTGATCTCTCGTTTGGAGTTTATTCATCACTCCAAGCCATAAGATGAAGGAGTGCTTGGGGGTGTTGCAACTCCCCCAAACAACCCGGGTCCATGGCTTATCGGTACCTTTAGGACGGAGGAAATCATAGCACTTGCTAGTACCATCTTGTTTATTACGAGAACTCCAAGTGCGGAGAAGGCCTTCCGCACCACGAACACTACCCGCTTTCTCTATCAAGCCTTGTCGGACTTCAAAGAGAGATTTAAAGAGAGGAGAGTCATTCTTGGATACTTGCCAATCCCAAATTATTTTCTCCTTTAAGTAAATGTTATGAATTTGTACCATAGAGAGTCATTTTTGGTTTGCATATTCCAAAGAGTCCTAATGAGGAGGGCTCAGTTCCAAGCATCCAAGTTATGATGCCCCAACCTTCCTTCCGACCCGGGCGTACACAAAGTATCGCAAGCAATGGGGCGTTTTTGGAACCCCATAAGTACCTCCTACAAGGTTGGATGATTTTGGTGTGAACAATTCCGGGCAAGTGGAAGATGCCCATCCAAAAGCAAGCAATGCCTTGAATGACCGATCTAATTAATTCAATCTACCGGCATAAGAGAGGGTATGGTTCCTCCACCCACTAAGTTGGCTATCAATTTGATTAATCATTTCGTCAAATAGCCTCCCAGTGATTCGGTCCGCTGTAAGGGGAACTCCAAGGTACCGGAATGGCATAGACCCGCTCTTCAAATTAGTGCCATCAAGGATTGACTCTCGGTCTTGCTGTTTAACACCGGCCAAGTAGATATTGGACTTAAGCACATTCATTTCGAGCCCCGATTTTGCCCCAAAGTCTCTTAAGCAATCCTTGAGCACTTGGATTGACCCCGAGTCCCCCCGGGAGAGGAGCATGAGGTTATCGGCGAAGACTAAGTGTGATATTTTTAGATTCTCACACATAGGATGGAATTTGAATTTCGGTTCATCCGCCGTGTTGCATTTGATGAGTCTAGAGAGGTATTCCATGCAAATAACGAAAAGGAAAGGAGAGAGCGGGTCACCTTGCCTTAGTCCGCGAGCACCTTTGAAAAAGTCTTTAAGGCTTCCGTTGATGGATAGGGAGTATGTGGGTGTGGTGACGCGCTCCATGATCCACTTGGAGAAAGCCGGTGGGAAGCCTAATCCCTCAAGCATTTGCCTCAAGAAGGCCCACGAGACGGAGTTGAACGCTTTGCGGAGGTCAATCTTGATTAAGCATCTCGGGGATACTCTTTTCCTTAAATATTGTCGGAGTAATTGTTGCATAAGGTGGATATTGTCCGTTATATTCCTCCCCTTCACAAACGCGGCTTGAGCTTCATCAACAATAGTATCAAGAACTTCGCTAATTCTTCGAGCAAGGATTTTGGAACATATCTTGTAGACGGTATTGCAACACGCGATAGGCCGGAAGTTCTTTACTCGGGATGAGTGGGAGGACTTCGGGACTAGTGTGATGTCGGTATGGTTCCATTGTTTTAGGATGGATCCAGGGCGAAAGTATTCTTGAATCGCCGCCAAAACATCTTTGCCAACAACTTCCCAACTCTTTAAGAAAAATGTAGAAGTGTATCCATCCGGGCCCGGGGACTTACCTCCCTCAATGCCTCTAAGGGTGGACTTGAACTCCTCTTCGGTTACCGGGGCAA